GCACGCAGGCTGTGCTTCTGGCTATGCCATGTACTGCTGTGTTTTAGGGCCCCAGCCGGCTCCCTCCAGCCCTGGCGGGGCCCTTTTTCTATCGCCAGCGCCTGGGGTAGCCCCAGAGGCCCTCCTCTGCTCTCAGTGCCTGAGTGTCCAGCCCAGGCTGCTCAGCCCTGCATTAAAACTCTTCTGCCTGACCCTGGCCATTCTATTCCTGGTGGAATCCCCACACCCCTACTGCCTGCCTGACTTCCCCAAGAACCTCTCGCTCACTCAACCAGCAAATTCTGCCAGGTCCTATTTTAGAGTCTGGGATAGTAGTGGACTGGATAGTCAGAACAGCTTGTATTTTGGTAGGGAGGTAGACAGAAAATAAAGTACACAAACACATAACCAAGATAGTTTTCCCCTGGTAGCAACTGCTGGAAGAATACAATGTGGGATGATTTGACAGAGGGTAGCCCAGAGAGGACCCCCCCCCCCGCAGTGACCTCAGAGCTGAGATCTAAATAAGGCACTCCCACTGGGAGCACTGGGGGAAGTGGGACCCACAGAGAGGGCACAGCCAGTGTGGAGTGGAGCAGGTGGAGGTGAGGTCTGGGAGAGATGGGCAAGGCCCAGAAGCATGGCTTCTGGGAGAAGAGGGGGTCACATTTCTCCTACCCTACCCTACTATACTTTCTTATTTCCCCTGCTCTTTCTTTTTATACCATTTCATCTTTGAATATCTCCGTTATCAACTATAATACCATCATCACACTTAAAAATATTAACTAATTCTTTATTATCATGTAATATTTAGTTGGTGATCACATTTCAGGGGAGAGTTTTAAGTGGGCAAGAACATGGCCTGATCTGCCTCTTACCACCCGTGAAGGCCTGTTCCTAGGTTCCAGGAAGGTTGGAGCCCCCTGATTCCTTAGGATCACAGTGGAGGGACAGAAAGACCATGTGTTCACCTATTTGGAGGTTAATCCTAATGGCTGGTACTGACCAACGTCTGCGTGTGCCAGCCCCTGTAGTAAGTGTTCAACTTGTGTTAGCTCATTGAACTCTTTCAGCAACCTGGGAACTAGGTACCACTGGCAGCAACCCCACCCAACAGACCAAGACACAGACACAAAGAGGTTGCCACCTGCCTGAGGCTGCCCATCTAAGTTGCAGAGCTTCCTGCTCAGAGGGTGGGTGAGAGGAGTGGTGGTGGGGCCTAGGGCAGTGTGGGCTCGTTGCCTTCCCATTATCTGGCACTTTCATTCCTTCTCAGCACCTGATTTGGTGACTAGTGTATATTTTGAAACTCCCAGTTTTAAATCCTCAGATGAGTATTTATAATCAAAGAGCCAAATGTTCTCCTGGTAAAACTGCCCTGGGGCGCAGACTTGCCAAGGGCATCTACCTTGCCTTACTTTCCTGGAGCTCCATGAAGCTTCCTGGATTAGGGGGGAACTGAGGTCATTGGGGCCTGGAACAGGTGGGGAAACTGAGATTTGGGGAGTGCACAGCTGATGATGATCCTAGCTGGCCCTGAGAGGTCTCTGTCCCTGGCCAGGCTTGTTGGCTCGTTGACTGTTGGATAGTGCTGTGTGCCAGTTCCAGGAGTAGTCCTCGAGACAGAGCATAGGGGTGGGTGCAGAGTGGTGACAGGAAGCAGAGAATCTCTGGTTTCAGATATAGAATGTTCCCTTTTCCCGAACCTCACTGGTCACTGGGTGGGGACAAAGGTCCACAGAGGTGGCCCCATTACAGCCGTACACTGTTGACTTTCCTTGAACACCAGACCTCGCATGGCCTTCAGAGGACACAGATGTCCCCTCTCTTCTCTGTTGATATTCTCTGAGCCCCTCCTGGGCACCAGCTGCCACGCCAGAAGCTGGGAACACAGTGGAGACCCAGCAGCCTAGCCTGCCCTCATGGAATTCATGGTCTAGTGGGGAGACGGGAGTTAGCTGGGCCTTCCTGAGGTGGTGAGTGCTCCATGGGGTACAGGCCAAGGGCATCTTATCTCCCATCCCACTAGGTGGCTATGAAGTCAGAATGGGGTAGTGGCCGTGCAGGTGCTCTGGGACCTGGGTCCACTTTTGCGCTCGTGAGTTATCACCCTGCAGCAGGGTCCTGTCCACCCAGTGGTAAAGCTTCAGTAAAGTGTCTGGGTACAGTTGAGAGCATTTTGTTCTGTCTCTGCCTTTCCCATTTCACAGAGGAGGCAGATGAGGCTGGAGGGGTCTGAGAATGGGAGGGTGGATGAGCTGCCCCGCTTCAGATGGGGAAACAGCCTGTGAGGACAGGCGCATATGCGGTCTCTAACCTATTTTTTTTTTTTTTTTTTTTTGCCACAAATTAGACTTGCCTGATTAAACTATTGACTGCCAAGTTAAGGTTCAATATCCGATAAAATACTTTTTAATATGAGCATGGCACATTTAATATTTGGGATATACTTATGTTACAAGTTGCTTGTTTTTTAAACCTGAAAATCAAATTTAATTGGGTGGCCTATAGTTTTATTTGCTCAGTCTGGCAACCCTACCCAGGCTCCAACAACCACAGGGGTCAGAGGGCAAATGGCCATTCTCCTACCCCCTTCCAGTGACTCAACAAGAATGAAGCTGAGGTCAGGTGTCCTCAGCAATGCAGCCACTCCAGTTAGCTGGATGGGGTTCCCCAACCTTGGCCGTTTCAGGGTACAGAGAGCCTCCTTGCGTCCTTTCTTGCTCACATGCACCCACGCTCAATCATTCACAGGTACATGGGTGTTCTTTCCCGAATTGTTCTGGAAAACCTGTTTGAAACCAAAAGTACCCTGGATTGTGCAATGGGCTTGGAGAGCACTCTTTTGCAAATAGGTGGTGCAATTTTGGAAAACACTCTTGCAGACAGAGTTCTCCCACGGGTTGGGATGGAGACAGGATCCAGGCATTTGGCAGTGGGAGACTGTGGGTGGGCAGCGGGGTGGAGGCACAGGCCTACGAGGTGGCAGGTGAGCATGCCATCCTCCTGATCAGGCCTCCTTTGTTCCTCTCTGCAGCCGCCGACGGCACGGCCAGGCCAGCATGGTGGACCACTTGATGCCAGTGGACGAGACCTTCTCGTCGCTGAAATGCCCTATTGGCTATCTGGGCGGCAGGCTGGCCAGTGGGCGGGCATACCACAGGCTGCCCTCGCCCCTCTCAGAGGATGACAGCGACGCCTCCAGTCTCTGCTCCTGTGCCAGCCCAGACTCACAGGCCGTCTGCTCCTGCTACGGTGGTGGCCCGGGTGCTGAAGGCCAGGACAGCATCTTGGACTTCCTGCTGTCCCAGGCCACACTGGGCAGTGGTGGTGGCGGTGGCATCGGGGCCAGCAGTGGTCCCATGGCCTGGGGGGCCTGGCGGAGGGCACCGGCACCTGGGAAGGGAGAGCATTTCTGCTTCCCTGAATTTCCTGTGGGCGACCCCGATGATGTCCCAAGGCCCTTCCAGCCCACCCTGGAGGAGATTGAAGAGTTTCTAGAGGAGAACATGGAGCTGGGGGTCAAGGAAGCCCCAGAGAGCAAGAGCAAGGACTCGGAGGCCTGCGGCCAGTTCTCAGCAGGGCCCCATAGGAGCCACCTCCATCCTGGGTCCGGTGGGAGAGAGCGCTGCACCCCCCCTCTGGGCAGTGCCAGTGTGGGTGGCAGCCAGAGCCCAGGTGGGGGGCCCGCATCTGATGGCCCCGTCCCCGTGCTGCTGCAGATCCAGCCTGTGCAGGTGAAGCAGGAATCAGGCACGGAGCCTGCCTCCCCTGGGCAGGCCCCAGAAAGTGTCAAGGTGGCCCAGCTTCTGGTCAATATCCAGGGTCAGACCTTTGCACTTGTGCCCCAGGTGGTGCCCTCTTCCAATGTGAACCTGTCCTCCAAGTTCGTGCGTATCGCCCCTGTGCCCATCGCTGCCAAGCCCATTGGGTCGGGACCCCTGGGGCCTGGCCCCACCGGCCTACTCATGGGCCAGAAGTTCCCCAAGAATCCTGCAGCAGAACTCATCAAAATGCACAAATGTACTTTCCCCGGCTGCAGCAAGATGTACACCAAAAGCAGCCACCTCAAGGCCCACTTGCGCCGACACACAGGCGAGAAGCCCTTTGCCTGCACCTGGCCGGGCTGCGGCTGGAGGTCAGTATGACAGGTGACGGGCCGGGTGCTGAGCATGACCGGCTCGTCTCTGTTCCCCTGGGTGTCAAGGCCTGGCTCACCATGAGATAAGGCTGATTAGGAAGGGGGGAGTGGGGTCTGAGCTGGCATGGCTGCCCAGAGCTTTCCTTGTCCCTAGTGATCACTAAAGCCTGAAACCAACTGGTCTCCGGTTTCACAATGACCAGGTAAGGCTTGCTGTGGCTCATGCTGACGGTGAGGAGCTGGGCCATGGCAGAAGGGCTCTCTTCTTAGTAACAAGGGCGGCTATTTTGGAAAGGTGGAGTGAGGGCTGTGTATCAGAGGGGCTGTGGCCATGTGCACACGGCCCCCTCTGTGCCTCACAGCACCCCTAAGGGTGAGTACTACCCTGACTACCACCTTTCAGCTGCGGGAACAGGCTCAGACCGGCTAGGTAACTTGCCCAAGGCCACACCACGTCGTAAATGGGATTCGAGCCCAGAGGGTCCTGTGTCAGAGAAGTCACATTCTGGAAACGCCGCTGTTCCCGCCAGAGGGACCAGCTTCGCTTGTAGATGTTCACGGACTCGTGGACTGGGCCTGGTCCTTGCGCCCCTGGGGGTACTTGAAGGTGTATTTGGGGAACTTCAAAGGACAACCAAGAGGGGAGGACCAGGCGGGGCGTGCTGAAGTAAAGGTGGAGGAGTCCTTCCAGACTCCACTCCGTGGGGTTCAGCAGGAGAAACCAGCTCTCAAAGGACAGGGGTCTTGCTCAGGGCTATGCAGCCAGCGGGTGGCAGAGGTGGATGGGCCCCCAGGTGGGCTTGTGCACCTTTTCCTGAAATGCAGGCAGCCAGGAGCTCCCGTGCTTGGGGGTACCACGGCTGGGCTCTCCCCAGTCTTTAGGACGTCGACCCTGGAGGAACGTGGCCCCCCTGGGAGGGTGGCCTGTGCTCCCCACGTTCCCAGGCTGTGCTGTGCGGCCGCTGCTTTGTGAGTGTGAGAGCCACGTGGCACGCTCATTTGTGTGCGGACCTCACAGTGGGCGTGCAGCTGTGCGTGTGCACGTGGGTACATGTTTTGCTTTCTTAGTGTGCGTCTTGGTGGTTGTCATAACCCCACGTGTTTGGGTACCTCGTCCGCATGTGTGCATCTGTGTGGGCATGACCGATGGGGAGCAGTCGGCAGCTTCTGTTTTCTGGAGCAGACTCCTCTGAGAGTGCGCCGATATCCAGTGCGATGCTGCAGCCTCTTTCCATGGAGGACTGGGCTGGCCAAGGAAGGCACTTTTCCCAAACAGCTCTGGGGTTATGGAGGCCCTTCCCGAGGAAGGGTCTCACCCAGCCGCTGCCCCCCAAAGGCACCTGTCAGGCCCACGTGGCTTCTGCAAGAGTGGGCACAGTGTTAATGTCACATCCCTCTCTGGGCCTCCCGCCACAGTCTGCTGAGTGGGCCTTGGGGTGACAGGTGCACCTGTGGGACCACTTGTGAGGCCCAGCGCAGTGGTCGGTATGCAGTGTGGGTGGTCAGAGCTTGGGTGTGGGAAGAGAAGCCAAGATCCTGGGGCCATAGAGACAGGCGCTCAACTGTAGAAGGGAGGGGCATTGTGACACCCTGGGTGGGTGATAGCTGGCAACAATGGCGGGGAGCCTCAGCCTAGGTCAGCCTCCAACTTGCTGTGTGCCCTCGGGGAGATCCCCCCTGGCCAAGCCTCAGTTTCCTCATCTGTGAAGTGGAGGGCCTGCTCCGTACCAGGGTCAGGAGCGGAGGGGCACTCAGCACCACCCCCTTCTCATTGGTGGTACTGTTACTCATACAAGGGCAGAGTCTGAGAAGGGTGCCATTTTGGAGGTACCCCAGACTCACAGGGACTCTTCTTGGATGCATTTTCCTTTTGGTGGGGGACAGGGCTGTGGAGGGGTTGAGCATCTGGCTGGACAGGGCACTGGCTCTACTCATGATGGGCTCACCTTCCTGGGCACTGTCCCCTGGCCACTGCTGACTCTTGGCGAGTGGCCCCTCCAGTCAGGATGAGTCTGGGTAGGGCCACGGGGTGGAAGGGTGTGGTCCTTGGTAAGGCTGCCCACTTGTCCCATTCCCCCCAGGAGGAGGGGACCTGCCTTCTGGGCTGTCCCAGAGAGCAGATGGAACGCTCAGCCCAGAATGCATCTTAGGGAGGCAGATCTCAGCCCCAACACAGTAGCCTCTGGAGGTGGTGAGTTCCCCATGGTAGGAGGCATGCAAGCAAGTGGGGGTGGGATTTGTGGAGGCGATTCAGCTTTGCCACTGTGTGGGCCTTGGAACTGGTCTTCTTGCCCAGGACCCTCTTGCAGGGGAAGGCTGGTGTGTGCCTGGCATGGCGAGGTCCCTGTGGAGCTGACCATGGAGCCATCCCTGCCTCCAGCCACTCCTAGGCCTTCAGAGGGCCTCCCCAGCTTCTCCCAATGTTCCCCTGGAATAGGGTCTGGCCTTTGGGGGGTTACAGGTGATGGAGGCACAGGGAGCTGAAGGTGCCTGCCTTTTGGGAGAGCTATTTCTCTGAGAATGCAAGAGTCCCTGGTTGGCCTTCAGAAATCCTGAGCCCCTGGAATTGTGCACAGATGTGCATGTCCCTTGTATGTGGAGGGAGCCCTTGCAGTAGTTGGGCGGGAAGACAGACCAGCTTTGGGGCAGCTTGGTCTGGACAGGACAGCAGTAGTAGTGATGATGACAGGCGCCATATTTTCCAACCACTTACTCTGTGCTGGGCACTGCTCTAACCTTCCACAAATCCCTACCCTTGCTTGTGTACTTCCTGCCATGAGGAACTCATTACCTTATGAGGCTATTCTGGCCTTTTCATGTGCTTTGGCACACTTAGATTCCTATCCAAACTTCTCATTCTGGTACGATCTGCTTGCCAACCTCCCTTCCACGATGTAGGCTCCCACTCAGGCCGCCACCCTCTCTCTGCCCTCTCTGCACCCTCTGTCTCCACCACTTTCCTCCTGATGGCAATGGTAGTTGGTCTTGCGATGGCCCCTGCTTTGTTCTACACGTGTCACATAGATAAGCTCGTTGAGTCCTTACAACAACTCCGTGACACGGAGGCACCAGTGTGCATTTCCCAGAGAGCCCACAGGGATGGAGCTAGTGGGCATGGCTCTGGGTGTGCCCTCGGGCAGGTGCCTCAGCGCCACACTGACCCACCAGCAGTCTGGTGGACATACCTTTCCCACCTGGAAACTTGACCCCTGTAGCTACTCGGCTGGCCTTTCCCTCATCCTCTCTCCCTGTGTGCCTGGTACTATAATGGCTGGGTGTCCTCTCTCCCCCATGAGGCCAGAAGCTCTTTCAGGTGTCATGCTTCTGGGCTAGGGGAAAAGAGCCAACCACAACAACGGCAATAACAGTAGGTCCTGATGCATGCTCTGAATGTTCCAAAGCAGCTCATTTAATGCCCCAAACAAGTCTACAAGGTAGGCATCAGTATGCTGTCCCCATTTACAGAGGAGGAATTTGAGGCACAGAACAGTTAAGTAAGTTCTCCTTGGTCACACAGCTAGTGAGTAGCAGGTCAGGAGTTCAGCCCAGGCTGTTTGCCCCCGCCCTGACCTCCTCCACCCAGACTCAGGACCTCTCTCTAGCCCCCAGGGCAAACCTCCCATGGGAGGTGGCCTGTGCAAGTGGTGGGAAATAGGATCTCCACCTGCAGCTGCTCTTCAGGCAGCACCCCTGCATACTTGCCTGCCTTTTCATATGGGGAGCTTCCCATGCCCAAGGCTGCCTCTCTTCCTGGTGGCCCCAGTGAACAGTTTGCTCTTTATCCTGCTGGGCTGGTTCCGGCCCTGGCACTGTGTCCTGTGCCCCTCTGTGAAATGAATGGTGTCCTCCCCTCCCCCCCCACCCAGGGCATCATTTGCCAGGTAACCAGCCCCCACTTCCTTCTGCTTTTGGTCCTGAACCCAATATTCCTTGTCCCCTCCTCTCTTGGGACGTGGTTCTGGCATCCTTGATGGGGCTCAAACCAGACTTTTCCTATCCTGATCTGTCTGGGAAGTGGCTGTTTGCCTGCCTTCCTAGAAGTTTCCTTGCTACACTCTCGGACACAGGCCCCCTTTGTTCACGGCAGCAGAACGTCCTGTTCCGGAATGGCCAAGCTGTTCCATCCAGAAAGAATACTCTCCTTCCACAGCTAATAGGAATACTAGTAACTTTTAGCAGCCCTGTGTGGCAGATACTGTGGTCATTCCCAGTGGACCTGGAGGCCCAGAGAAGGGTGGTTGCAGGCCTGAGGCCCCAGGGCCAGGATGGGGCAGGGACAGGATTCAGACCCAGTGGTCCGCTCCTGGCCTACTCTCTTGGCCCCTGTGTCACTGCTGGTCCTGTTCAAGGAGGCATTCTCTTACTTCTTCCCTGCACTTGGCAGAGCCCCCAAGTGGTGTTGGGAGGGTTATGCACTGTACCACTATTCCAGGGAGCACCATTCCCATTGCGGTCCTTGAGACCTGACTATTTACAGTAATGGCTTTCTGGCTGATGGAAGGGACGCTTTGCACAAAGGTGTGGTGTGTGCCAGTTGTGGGGCTGTCGTGTTGGCTGCCTCCCTCTCCTGTACCTCAGCAGCAGGAGTCATGGTGCTGTCCCATGTGCCCCTGGACATTGCTGCACTGAGCTCCTTGCAGGTAATCAGAGCTCACAGTCATTGAATGACTGCCATGTGCTGAGCACTGTTATAAACACTCAGTGCCTTTTACAATCCTCACAGTCCTGTGAGGCAGAGCTGTCAGTTCCCTGTCTCCAGGTGGGGAAACTGAGCCTCAGAGAGCTTGGTGACTTGCCCAGGTCACCAAGTAGCAGAGCTCACTGCCTGCAAGGCCTGAATCTTAGCCACGTGGCCTCACTCCCACTGTGTGGCCTTTAGGCTCCTCCAGTGGCTGCTGTCTGGGAGAATGTGTGTGAGGGTGTGAGGTAGGGATCTTCTGAGGGCTCAATTCCCAGGGATGGACCTCTCAGGTCACAGGATCCTGAGGCAGCAGGGAAGAGGCTTGCAGGTTGGGACAACTTGTTCTCAGACCTGGCTCTCCCTCAGTGTCCCCATGCTGAGAGGGCCACTGTGGTCTTTGTGTCAACTCCTTTGGCCTCTGAGACAAGTCCCAGAAGGTGGGCAAAATCCCAAGGTCTTCACTGCATGAGTGAGGATACAGGCCCGAGAGGGTTCCCAAGCTTGCTCAGGATCACGCAGGGCTCCTGGTGGGGTGGGGACCTGAAAGGACCCAACCATTCTGCTGGTTGTGTGACCCGGCAAGCCACTTGTCCTTGTTGAGCCCTTGCTGTGGTATTGTCAGTTCTCTGGGACTGATCCTGGTACCCAGAAAGGGTTCAGCAAAGGCTATTGCTGGTGGCGTTGTTTCTGTGGCTTCCTGCTTGCCCCTGCCCTGGGCAGGCCCACCTGTTCAGAAGCTGTATGTTCAACTCCTGCTGGGGGCAGGTGGCCCTGGCCTGGGAGCAGGGTTGGGGCTCTGACCTCCAGGGTGCATTGATGCCACTTCCTCACTGGCTCAGGGCTCCAGTGACACACACCACCTAACCCGGCAATGTGGAGGAGACCAGGCGCTCTGCAGTCACGGCGGGGCGGGGGGTGGGGGGATGCAGGGCATGGCAGGGCGCTGCGCCAGGACCTTTGCCCTGCCGTGCTGGGAATGCTGGATCAGGCCCTCATCACTCGGAGCCTCAATTTCCTCATCTGGAAAGTGGGCCAGTCTGGCTTCCATTATTTCAGACATATGCTGAGAGCGTTGCTCTGTGTCAGCCTCGATTGGAGCTCTGGGGGATGATGTGGGGTGCCAGCCTCCGAGCGCAGAAACCCGGCTGTGCTGTCAGGACAAGGCCCTGGGCCCCGGAGTAGCTGAGCCAGGCTGAGCTGCCTGTCCTCTGTGCTTCTGGGCAGGCTCCCTATCTGGTGCTCAGGCCTTCCTACTCCCCAGCTGCGCCTTCCCCAGGGCATGTTCCTTCTAGTCCTTGGCAGGCTGTGGGATTAAGGAAGGCCTCCACCCACAGGGTCAGGCGAGGGGTAGGCTACCCATTGGCTGGTTTGGGGACAGCTGTACCAGCTAACCTACCTCTTGCTCTGTGGCCACAGGTTCAGGGAGGGGCTGCTGGACCTGTGTGTGTGTGTGTGCACACATGTGTTCATGTATGTGCATGTGCACCCTCATGTGATGTGACTGTGTACGTGCGTGTGTGTGCACACATGTAGAGTGGACAAGTGTGCGGTGCACCCATGTTTGTGATGTGCACATGTGTGGCATTTATATAGGGGTGTGTACGTGTGCATTGTGTGGTGTGCACACGTGTTTGTGTGTGCAGGTGATGAGACTTGAGAAGAATTCCCTGTGACAGCCCTACATCCTCCCGTGGGTGCTTGCTGTATCCATGCTTTCATGTAAATGCACTTATTGGGCACCTGCCATATGCCAGGCCCTGGGCTGCTTGTGGGATGGATCACAGGGAATGAGACACATGTCTTTCCTCATGGTGCTGATGGTCTAATGGCACAGACTGACATTCATCAGAAGTTGAAAACGAATTTAAAATTACAGCAGTGGTGGGGCCAAGAAAGTGAGATGCATTTTGTGTCGCAGGAGCCTAGAATGGGATGCAGTCCTGGAAGGCTTTCTTGAGGAAGTGACATTTGAGCTGAGCTCTAAGGGATGGGGGGCGGGAGCAAGAAGAGGGGAGGGAAGAGCATTTCAGATGGAGGGAACGGTATGTGCAAATGTCCTGTGACAAGACGGACCAAGGATGGGTCAATGGACCAAGGTAGAGCACGGTGGAGAACAGTATGTATGTGTGGGGAGTGGGATCTCATTGTCAGGATGAGGGTCATGGGGTAGGGGGAGCTTCAAATCCCTGAAATCAGTGGCAGCGGTCTGAGCCCTGTGGCCCAGCTGGGACCCTTACCTCTTCCGTTAGCAGCTGCTCACTCTCAGTGGCCTCTGGGCTGTGGGAGCGCTTGCTTTCAGGCAGGCTGAGGCCAAAGGAGGGAGGTGGCAGGTGAACCATTTAAAGTTTCAGAAGTATCTTGCAGTGGTGTGGTTTTGTCTGGTGACAGCGTAGGGGACCCAGCCTTCAGGAAAGCAGTGACCAGGAGTGGGGGGGGGGCTCAATTCTGAAGACCCTGCCTCAGCTGAAATGAAGACAAGGGAGAGGAGCCAGGGGCTCCCTCAGTGCTGGGGAAGAGATAGCTCTCCCAGGCTTCGCTTTCCCCTCAGGAGGGGCTTCCTCCTTCAGACCTTCCTAGAACCCCAAGTTCTGCCTAGGGGGCAGCATGGGGTGCAGCTAGCGGCAGTCGGGGCCAGGGTGATCCTGCAGCTCACCACCGGAAGGGGAGAGGGAGGATGCTGTGGAGAGTAAATCCTGGGCTCTGGTGGGCTTGACAGCCTATCAGAATATTTACCACTGCTCACAGGCCCAGATGCCCAAGAACGGACCGCTGTGCCACCACTGAGGCTTTTACTGACAGTTCTTGCCACCCTGGGGGGCGGGGGGTGGGGGAGAGTGACTTTTCACCAGTGGATTCAGAAGTAACTCGGGACCCGGAGAAGTGTTGGGGCCGCGCCTGCCGCGCCTGCCGCGCCTGCCGCGCCTGCCCGGCTGGGTAGAGCCCTGCACCTGCCGGCTGCCTTCTGGGTGGGCGCCTGGCGGGGCGGGCCTCGCTGACCGCGGCCCGTGCGTGTCCCGCAGGTTCTCCCGCTCGGACGAGCTGTCGCGGCACCGGCGCTCGCACTCGGGCGTGAAGCCCTACCAGTGTCCTGTGTGCGAGAAGAAGTTCGCGCGGAGCGACCACCTCTCCAAGCACATCAAGGTGCACCGCTTTCCCCGGAGCAGCCGCTCGGTGCGCGCAGTGAACTGAGCG